TTTAACCCAAAGCAATTTGTTAATATTACAAAGGCAGCAACGGAAACTTATTTCAGTGAAAAGTATTTTTGCATAGAAAACTGTGTTATGTTTTTTTAATGAAGCTAAAATCATGGATGGTAAATTATCTGTAAAATAAGATACGTACTTGCTTTTAGAGCCCAACAGAACATATTAACAGTTAAAACCACACAGATTCACTAGAAATAAAGCAACAACAATCAGATTACTGGAATATCTTTAGTTGCATGGAGATTTCACTTGAGGCCTCATTTCCAGGAGCTCCAAAAAAAGGGACATTTAAGAATACATCAGGAAAATGTGCTCCTAGACACCCTTTGAGACAGCGGTTATTTTGTTGTTTGCTAACTCTTACATCAAATATTTGAGGAGAACTATGTGCTATCATTTATTGCCCAGTGCAATATTATTTTATAGCTGGCTGTGCCAGGAGACGGCACACCATAATAAAGACCCACCTGTCATTTATGCTTCTTTTGTGTTTGTCTTTCTTTTTTGAATTTTCAACTGCCTCCCCATAACAAAGGGCAGCAGTGCTGGTATATAAACACAGACTGAAGGAGCTCCATTTCCTTTCTGGACAACGTATTTCATATGATTTACATCCCTGTGGGTTAATTACCTCTAAATATCCTCAGCTCACCTTAAGCACTTAAAATGTATTACACTGGCAGTGTCCTCCTATACTGAGTCATAGAGCTTGTTAATTTTTTATCTGTCCCTACAAGTATTTTTTAAACTGAAATTTAACCCAGTCAGTATATGATCCGTTTGCACAAAACCCTTCAACATAGTCTGGCCTGTTTTCGACAGACCATAATACTCAACAACTGGAAAAACAACAAACAAAATTGCTCCATTTGTTGAAACCCATGTACAAAAAGGACAGCATTTAAGTCAGTATTGAATTACCACAATCTTTCGGCCCTCGGGTGTTAATATAGACAAGATGCTGTAATGAGAACTGCTGTCTGGCTTCTGGAACACTTCTGAATCTATTGTCAGGGTACCCATTGTAAGGTTGTGAGACAGAACGAAAAGTAAAAAAGGATATCCAGACTACCACTTTCTGTGGATCACGTTGCTAAAGAGAACCTTAGAATTAATATTAAAGTGCATAGTAAATGTACCGTATGTGACAGTTTGGGGCAAGGTGTGCCAAAGGGGCTGTTTTGCTTCTTTATTCAGGTTATTGAAGCAATGCACGCTGATATCCCGAATACTCTACAGTTACAATGACACGTGTTAGAATTGGGCTATAATTACTTACGTTAGCATAACATGCTATAACTTAATCCATGTAAATGACTGATTGTATTATTCCTTTTAGATTCATATTATTCCATTTATAATTCTACTTTTGGGTTAAACTCTCTGGCTGTGCCTCCTCCTCCCCATCTCTCTGTTACAATAGATACACGTCTTCAAGGTCAACATACACACACACATTTTCTTATCACATTCCCACGAAACCTGCATGAACAAAGAGCCTCTGGCCTGATCATGACCAAACTAACTGGCCAATGATGCTCGGCTACGCCCAACCGTCTTCCCCCTTCGAAGCCCGGCCCAGAGGATAACTACCCATTGCATCCGGAAATCGAGGCTCTTGCCAACTGAGATCCTCCGGGAACTTTGTCTATGAGAGCCCAGCGCTGATATACTTTGCTTTTGACCAATAAATGTCATATTTGTACTCTTGATCTACTCTGGTTTATTCTCAGGCTTCCAACTAAAGAACCGACTCTAACACACGCATGAGATTACATCAGGCTAATGTACAGCTGGTCACAACAAAACTTGAACACAAAGTTAGGCTCATAATTAATTAACTATTGGCAAAAGGATCTCGGTGTCAAAACAGAGCAAACTTAAGAAGTGAGGAACAGCGTTTTTACAGTTACTAAATCCCAAACCTCTATTGGAAGTCCAAGGTGGGCGTTGGAAAGGATGGAAAGGCAAATACACACCTTCCCACTAAACTCATGACAAACACCTGGATTACTCACTTTACAGACAAACCAGTTTGTGTGACAGAAGGATTTTACTATGCAGGAGATCAGAACTTCTGCACAGGTTTAGACTCCAGCCATTTTGTATTAGGCTCTGACATGTATTGTTTATCCACTAGTGCTCAGTGTTAAGGCAATATCATTTTAGAAAAACTCACAAGTAACCATATGCATCTCATGGTTAGCACTGCTCTACACTCAATAATGGCTGCAAGACTTAGGCATTACTAAAGAGTGCTCGTGATGATTGCTTTATAAAAAAACTTCTGAGTCTCCTCGGATACCGTAGAGAAGAGCGTCTTCAGAGTCTTCTGATTGGTCAGTAGTTTGACATCGGTTAAAGGTTCCCATGGCAACCTTGAGTGCCAAGATTAAGTTAATTTTGAAAACAAACAACCTAATTTCAACTCGAAAAAAGGTCAACTATCTACAAATATTACTTATTAAAGTTACGTCAGCTGTGAAAACTGTTGACTTAACATTTTATTATGGACTATCTGCATATTTTAACTAAATTAAAAGATGGTTCATAAATATATATCTGTTTTGTACTGGCTTAGTTATAGAAAACATATTTATTGTGCAGGAATAAGGTCTTAGCTCTGTTACACTGGTAGCCAAGAAATCTACATTTCGTTGTCAAAATTCACCTTGTGTTTTTTGTGCAATGACAATAAAGGAAGCCTAAGTCTAATGGTGCTTACCTCGGGTGTATCTGCCCCGTTTTCTCCGTGTGTTTGTAACCAACACACAGACAGCAGACAAGTTCCTTTGTTTGCTCATTTTGTCGGTAACGCGCCTGCGTGCCCGCGCCCTTCATTACACAGGTGAGCTCATCCCACGAGAGGACAAGCGGCAGGTAACACTGCGGTATCGCTAAAACCAAAAACTTAAAAATACGAACAAGTAAATTGTATCTTTTTTGTCTTGATATGTCAGGTTTTTATAGTTGTGAGACCTTGTTTCATTTGAGCAAGATAGCTAATGTCGCTAGTTGTGAGCTTTGCAGCAGAGTATCAGGCCGAATGATTGGTTTCTCAATGGTGCTATGAATGTTTTAAATAAAAGGGAAAGTGTTTTGCAGTAACAGGTGGCGGTTGAAAAGTAGCACGGTGAACTTCTTTTCTTTTGCCCGCAGTAGTCGGACAATATGACAGATACAACGGAGGGCACGGTCAACATGGAGGATTTTTTCAAAACGGTAAAGCGGTCATAGTTCATTGGGCTGTCGGGGTCACGTGATCCACTCTATAGTAGTGAGAAATTGGTGTTTAGCTGTAGCTTATACATATGGAACAACAACATGATAAAACTAAAAAGGAAATGGCCACAGTTGTTGACCAGAGTCACCTTATCCCTCAGTTGTATTTTAATGCCAGAAAACAGGCTCAATTGAGGGTCAGAGACTTGTCATCAGGAAATAGATGTTTTTTTTAAGTTTGTATTTAAGTAATAATGTATTGTCATATCATTCTTACTTCAAGCTTGTGACTCTTTTTCAGGTTGTGTTTTCATTAACAACAGCCTCCATGTTTGTGTAGGTGGAGCATGTGAGCAGCATCATAGAAAAAATCTCCAGTCAAGCAGAAGAAGTTGAAAAAAGACAGGGAATGATCCTGTCCTCTTCAAATATAAGCACGAGTAAGATTTGTCCAAATTTGATTGACCTGCATCATATACTCCCACTATTTGGCTGATATCTGAACTTTTTTCAGATCTTATAGGATCACATAACACAACACAAACAGATCAACACATCTAAGCAACCTTTGAAAAGCACTAGTTGATAGAGGGCACAGCATGAAATTCAGCAAGGGCCTGTAAAAACTTTAAACTATATTTTAGTGTACCATGATTCAAATGGATACTAAAAGTGTTTCTAAAGGTGCAGCATTCACCAATATTTTTCTTCTGGTTCTCACATCCCAAATATCAAAGTGAATATGTTAAATAGAAATGCAGTACCACATTTGACCCATAACATTAGTTTCTTCATCGAGATTGTGTTCTTTGGAGACTGAGAACACACCAAAATAACAAGTTGAAGGAAAAAATAAATAATTCACTTTATTTTTGTGCTGGTGGAATACTGTAGGGGAATAAGGAGTGATTACAAGTTCAAATTTGTTCATCAGAATTGGCCTATTGGCTAAAATCTTTTTAAGTTAACTATATAACTGCGGGTGTGAATTTGTTGTTTGTAAATAGAGAAGAAAATTGAGAATAAGAGTTTGAACTTCCCGTATTTATGTGTTTGGTGTGATTTGAATTTAGATGGGGAAAAGGATGTGAAGCCCGCGTGATCAGATATATGCTGTGTAATGTAGAAATCCTCTGCAGATCTCAACTATCATAAATTACATCTTCAGTTGTGCCTTTTTTTTGTATTTTGGAGTAGTTGCAACTTCATGTGCGTTAGAATGTACTCTCAATGCCTTTTTATTTTCTTATACTTATTTATTTAAACTATTAAAGCCAACCGTTTTGGAGGTGTGTCTTTCACAGCATTTACTACAGATAGCTAGATAGGATTACAACATTCAACACATAATAGACAAACATGACTGCTTCTTTAAAACAAACTTCTTTAAATGGTTTTCAGGTAATAAAGATGATCTGGAGCTGCTGGACAATGAAACAAAAAAAAATGCCAAGTTCGTCCGTGCCAAGTTAAAATGTAGGTACAAATGCATCAGATGTAATAAATTACTGATGAGTGACTGCTCTCTAATATTGTTTTAGACTACTGCGCTGTGCTAGACTTCTTCACATTCTGACAGCATTTGGGAAGTCATAACACATGATTTGACTTGCAAATGAATAAAGGAGGAAGTGTAGCGCACATAACCTGATGCTGGTCATCACATGGGGAAAACAATTCTCTTTGAACAACAACAGAGCCAAACTACTGATGGTCGATTATATTAAAGGTTGTAACGTGATGCTGTGTTGGTCTGCATATCAGATCTGTTTCATATCTTTGCAGCAATGCAGAAGAGCTGCTCTGTGGAGTACAACAGCTCTAGCACCTCTGTAATCCACCGTATTCAAAGGAACCAGGTCTGGAACTGTTCTCTTGTTCCTTTTATGAGCATTTATCTCGCAGGAGGCCTTGAATCTTTGAACACCCAAAGGATTCTCTGCTGACTGTGCTAAAATGTTTTGGATATACATCTAAATTGATTTATTTCAATGTCGATCAATAATCTGGTTTTAAATTCTGCTGACTTCTTTTCCCCCAGCACTCGCACCTTACTCGCTGGTTTGCTGAAGTCATGAGAGGCTACCATAAAGCACAAATCTCCTTCAGAGAGAAATGCAAGGCACAAATTCAGAGACAGCTAGTGATTGGTAAGTAGTTGTATACATTTCTCAGCAAGTCGTAAAGGCTCTTGTTTCACAGTTAGGTCAGTGGCATGTAAACTGATTTTTTTAATGCCATACACCAGCAACTGCCATATTTAAAACTCAAATTCTGCACCTATGCAGCAGTGCCAGTTCATTTACCACAAACTCCCCTTTATATTCGGAGCATGTTAGAAGCTGCACAGTCATTGCATACCTTTTGAGGATTTCCAGTCTTATAATGATTTAAGCTCCAAAGTTACTTTGTCTTTTTTTTTGGTTCTTCATCGTTTTCAATTATTCATGGTCTGTATTTGACCCTTTTCCCATAAGAATGTATGCACGCATTGTGATTTAAATGTATGGTTACAGGCGAGGTTTGGGTCATTCACTAGAGATGTTATCACGCCATCCTATGGAGACATTCCATATATATACTTTTTTCCCCAATTATTTTCCAGAAAAAAATGCTCTCTTTTGACATATGTTCCCTTTTGCCTCTCTCAGTGGATAAAGAGGTGACAGATGAAGAGCTGGAGGAAATGCTCCGCTGTGATAATCTGGCCATCTTCATATCAGAAGTTTGTGAAGTATTGACTTTACACTTATACACATTTTATCATAATTGGTGATAGCCAATAACACATGCAGAGGTTTATTTTTTGCTAATACTTGTCCATAGAATGGACAGACGGATGACTGAACACAGTTTTTTATTTTATTTTTGAACATACACTTTTTGCTTCCAAAGGTAAACTCTGATACCCACATTTCAAGTCAGGCTCTGACTGAGATTGAAAGGCGTCACCAGGACATTGTCGGCCTTGAGTCCAGTATTAAGGAGCTGCATGAGATTTTTGCTGATACTGCCATGCTGTTGGAGATTCAGGTAAAAAGGCCTTCTCCTTTGTAGATTCTGTTTTGAGTGAGAAAGGTAAAGCATTTCCTCAGCTGCAGTCGGACTAGTGTCAATTCTGTGTTATTTCCACCAGGGGGAGCTAATCAACAACATTGAGAGGAACGTCATGAGTGCTGCAGAGTATGTGGGAGCATCTAGACAAGAAACTCATAAAGCAGTCGCATACAAAAAAAATCGTCACAAGATAGCATCTCTTCCCAGCTTCTTCAAGCCCTTCAAGAGACAAAGCAGTCTTAAAGCTGAGACTGAAGTGCCCTCTGACCTAAACCACGGCTGAAAACCTAAACCTGCGAGGTCTCCTAAGTCCTGCCCAGGATTTGCTTTCCCATGGAGTCCAGACTTTGATGCTTTTGTAATGGTATTTGTTTTTACTAAACCTCAGATTTTAAAATGTTTATGTATTTACTGTCAGCCACTAGGTGGCACGGTAACACTGATATTTAGCTGTAACCCAAAACAGGTAGTTTTTCATCCCTAATGCAGTTCTGTTTTTTCTTTTGTTTAAACAAAGTATGATTAAGTATGATAACGTCATATGTTTAAGATAAAAAGAAATGTCTAACAATGTCTTTCAAAATAAACGATTGCTAAATGTATGATACATCATTTTGTACTCGTTTACTCGATAGTGCCAGTAGTAAATTGGCTATGCTGTATTGCAAAAATGATGACCTTTAGTGAACATGGAGCTATAGAATATTACCTTAGTCAGCATAGACATAGTACCATAATGACCTCTGCATTTAATATGAAGCCCCTCTGGGAGCATACACTGCCTAACAGAGTGGATTGGGTTGCTGTAAATGCATTTATGTGTTAGCTGTACCGGAAAATTGTGTTCTCATGCCTGAAAAAAAATAACAGTCTGAATATTTGATACGTCAGAAGGCATGTCGGTCTGTTCATGGTAATGGGCTCTATTTGAAAACACTTTCAAATACTAAGGAAAGATTATTTAGAGGTCTTTGGCGTTGATGATTATACAGCCAGATGACAAAGTGGTTGTCATAAGCCACCAGAGCAATTGAGTCACTCTTCCAAGCGTTCATCATTTGAAGTTTGGGCTGGTGGTGAGGAAAACATTAGTGCTGCACATTATTTTCTCATCAGTGATTCTTGTTGGAGTCACTGGGATCCTGTGGGACAAGAATTAAGTATTTTATCTCAGACTGTATAATGTATATACTGCAGTTCTGCAGGACAAGTTTACTCCAACCATGCAGGAAAAGGAAATTAGTTGTATCTGCATTTGTTCTGTACACGTTTTTCTTTTTTTATATATATCATTATTGCTTGTTTTCGGCACTTGTTTGTTTGCAATGACACAAACTGACTGTTACTCGTGTTGAATGCAGATGTTAAAAATGGCTCTCTTTTCACCTCTCTTTTTGTAATCTGACTGGAGTTGAGGACAAGTAAGCTGTACTCTGCAGGATGGGAATGCTGCCAGGATGAACCCGTTGACTTGTCTCTCTTTTCATCCACTTTTCCTTCTCTCTACCTCCAGGACGCGATTCCAAAAATTCTAATTTCTGAATAGAAACCATGACAGAGCATGGGAGGTGAAGGAGCATGCATTTGTAGACAGTACAGGGGTAAAGAGATGGAAGAAGATTCAGTTGAAAAAATGAAGGACACAGGCCTATGTAAAAATGAACTTTATTGGTTTTGCCAGAGTGGTGAGCCCTTCAAAATAAGGTTTGGCCAGCATCTAAATGTGGGGCCTGGCTGTCTGCTCGGATTGACAGGTCATCCCTCTGTTAGTCATTTAAGCAAACAGGAGGTTAATATGCTGAGTGTGGCCTTTGTCCAAAAGAGCCATTCAATATTCCCCCAGTTGGAATGGACTGTGAGGATGAACAAATGGGATGACGAAAAAGCTGAAGGACAAAGGGGTAAAAAGTCTCTTTTTCTGATTCCTGCTGGAGCCTCCGAGGTAGGTTTTACTTCTTGGCTTTGCCCTGGGCAGCCACGGCCTCCATGGCCTTCTTCACGGTCTCCTCGTCACCAAGGAAAGACATGGGCTTGATGGGCTTGAGGTTCGCATCCAGCTCGTACACAATTGGGATGCCTGTGGGGAGGTTCAGCTCCATGATGGCTGCGTCAGACATACCTGGAGAAAACAGAGGAGGGCAGATCAGAAAAGCCAGCGAAGTGAGTGTTACCGACACAGTCGATGACAATGATGGGAAGAGAAAAGCTCTTATGAACTATGTCAGTAGAGAGTGCTTTCATTACAAATGATTGTATGCAAATGTTTTTAATCTGCAGCAATGTAGGATATAATCTCTCTTGTCATCTTATACCTCACCTGCCTGACATTTAGCACTTCCCTGAGAAGTAAACTCTCTTCTTTACGTCTGACCACCCCTTGAATATGTGGGACCTTTCTACAGAAAGGTCATGACTGTAATGGGAACCGCGCTCATGACCCACCAGCCTCTCTCTGCTCTGGTGCTTGAGTCTTTGCAGTCCTGCTATTTATATACACTGCAATCCACAGCTGTGTGTGTGTACGGGTGTGTAAAGACACACAGTCTGACTGTGGTTATTCAGGTCTTTCCTTGTATGCAAATGCACCCAAAGACGCTTTAGGATTGGATTCATGGGTAACTTTATAAACCTTCAAAGACATGCACATTTGGATGGGAACATATTCTGGTGGTCCATAATTGTGCACTTTTTGAAGAAGTTCTGTTCCCCGGCAGGCTGTAAGACTCACCCTCCAGGTGCTTCACAATGCCACGGAGGCTGTTGCCGTGAGCAGCGATGATGACGTTCTTTCCAGCTTTGATTTGGGGGGCGATGACGTCGTTCCAGAAAGGCAGGGCGCGGGCGATGGTGTCCTTCAGCGACTCGCAGGTGGGCAGCTCACCGGGCTTCAGGTCCTTGTAGCGCCGAGACTGGAACACAAAACGAAAAAGGACAGTTTACTCCCACGCTGAGTACGGATAAAAGCAGCTTACGGCACCACCAGCTCTGTTCATGTGTGGGGAGATTATACCCAGTGGCCGGGCCGCTCATTTGAAACTTTATTACTCATTCACGTTTTAAAATGAAGCAACCAGTGCATGCTTTTCTGCGGCATCAGTTGTCTCACCTCGCTGATGATTTTGTGGTAAGGGTGGTCCTTGTCCATGGGCGGGGGTGGGGTGTCAAAAGAGCGACGCCAGATCTTCACCTGCTCCTCGCCGTGCTTCTCGGCCGTCTCGGCCTTGTTGAGTCCGGTGAGGCCTCCGTAGTGGCGCTCGTTCAGGCGCCAGCAGCGAATGACGGGCAGCCACATCTGGTCCGTGCCCTCCATGATGGTCCACAGAGTCTTGATGGCCCGCTTCAGCACGGAGGTGTAGCACACGTCGAACTTCAGGCCCGCATCCTTGATGGCCTGGGCCCCGCGCTTGGCCTCCTCCATGCCCTTCTCGCTGAGGTCGGCGTCGAACCAGCCACAGAAGCGGTTCTCCTGGTTCCAGGAGCTCTCTCCGTGGCGGACGATGACCAGACGGTGGGCGGCAGCCATGTTCAACAAGGTTTCTCTGGAGTGTAACTTTAAAGCCAGACAAAGAACCCTCAGCCCTTTTGAGATGCCTTCTCTCTCACACACACTGGCCGACCCACAGTGAGGCCGATGCGGCGTGCCACGCTCTTTTTATAGGAGCTCAGATGGTGACGGCGCATAGCAGAGAGGCCTCTTTGCTCTCCACCTGTGAGAGGTTCTCTAACTCTGATCGGCAGAGGGGGCGGACCAATGGAACCAGAGCTGCACCGGGCTGGTGGGACAGGCTGGGAAGGCCAGAGGTCAGAGATGAACCAAAATAGCAACATGACTTTTAAATTGAGATCTGTGGAACAAAAGTGTAAAGAGCCACAAATATGTTCTCTGCCTGGATGAACAGCTCCATGCTGTGAGAATGACTTTGTCAAATTTTTCAGCCATCTGTCTTTATGATAAGTAAGGCTTTGATTTTGCTAACATAGTATTTCTTGTTTAGAAGAGCAGTGGAGCCGATGCACGTTAAAGAAAACAAGAATGGGAGATTACGTTAATGTGTTGCCTGAAAGGTGAAATTATAGAAACATACATAACAATATGGTCTCATGCCCTTTTCTTGCTGTCCATATTGTAATCAGTGCCAGCAAAAGAAAAAAACAGCACTTGTTACAGCTCCTACCATACAATGCACTAATGCTGGCACAAATTAAGCAAGGTAAATGTATTTGCATAGCACATGCTTTTAGATTATAAAATAATCTAAAAGCAGAAATGGAAAGAGGGAAAATGAATCAACAAAAATAAATTAGATAAAAGGTGTAGGGTGCAGATAAAATACTTTAAGTTGTGTATTAGATCAATACAAAATAGAAAATACTTAAAAGGTAAAAAATAAACCTTTTGAAATACTAAAATTCACTTGTTGGTACATTCAAAATCATAAGGGTTCAACACAACGACATCATGCAGTTTACTGATTACTGCTGTGTCTGATCATCACCTATAGGAGTCACTCCAGTCTCAGTGTTGACTTCACTATTTTTCTTTTGGGACATACATGTAACGTTGGTTTATGCTGTACTCACTGTAGAGTGACTAAAATAATCAACATTTTTAAATGTTGGTAATTCCACACCAGCGTTATTTTAATTTCTTTTCCATTTCAATGCAATTATCTTTATGTTTAGATTTGATTTGAGAGATGCTGCTTGCAGAGCGTGCAGTATTGCACCGAGGCAAACAATCAAAGTCAGATATCCTGTAACACATCTTTATGAAATGCAATGCAGGGAGGAAGGAATTCAGAGAACTTATCGTATAGATTTGAAGGATGAAACTTAGAAAGTGAGCCACAGCGCCAAAAGCTGAGGTGTCCGGCGTAGTCTCCTCCCCCCTGAAATCAAATTGTAATCCACTTGAAATACAGGTCTATAAATAAAACATTAATGGAACTCCAGGCATAAGGCCAACTTTCCTCAAATAACCCTTACATTAGGGTGTACCTATCAAGTAGAAACAGTAAAGTAGGATGTTGTTGGGGGAAAATGATGGGCATCTATATTTTAACAGTGAATGATGATGACACATTTTCCAAAAAAAAGGTATAAACAAATTCAGATGTGTGCTTAATAGCCACACAACTGTATGACAAAACAGATTAAACAGGTGACTTAAAGAAGCACAGGACAGCTGTGGAACACCCCAATATATCCAACAGTGAAAAGTGTCCTATTGTCACTACTCTTATTGCCGTTTCATCACCAAAAGTTTAGTGTTTATCGTTGTTGTCACAGTTGCTGAAGGGCAAGATTGAATGGCGTCCACTGAGAGAGCAAAGTGCAGCATCCTTCAGAATAACTAATCAGTCCTTGACTCTCGCCGATAACTTGTGCCAAGTCTGACACCATGGTCTGTTTGTCAGAGCCCGATTGTGCTATGAAACTGTCCCAGGTGTCACTTTATGACAGAACTGGGGTTTTAAAAGCTGTTTTTGCTGGATGTTTGGTTGGCAAACAGTCTTCCCATGAGCTGTGCAGCATTTGTAAAGTATTACAGCTATTTTTCATGTGGTGCCATGAAAAAGCCGAAGATAATAAGTGATTTTACAGTTGTGTTCATGTGAGCATTGTTTTTTGTTTGTTTGTTTGTTTTGTTTTGTCATAAGGATAAATACTGTACTTTCAATTGCTGAAAGAATATTTTTTATTTGTGATGGTTTTGAATCATTAGATTTTTATTAATGATATTGCAGATGGATGATTTTACTTCTTTTGGAAGCAAGATCTGACATATACAGGACTTGCAAGCCAATGTGAGGTTTATTTCATCGTGTAACTGCAAGACAGTTTTTATGTTTTACTGGCCCTCTGGTGGTGAAAAAAAGATGATTGATCTGGCTCTGTATATGAAGTTGCATTCTCGCAGTACTTCCTAATATAAAAAGTTTTTATCGGACTACCTAAATTAACTTTTCACTACATCATTCCCTCATCTTTTTCACAGGCAGGGGAAGCCAGAGCCCTGGAATTACAACTGTAAGGGATTTAATTTGTTTGGAAAGACAATTTAATGGTCAACGTTCTCAGTTTCAATGCCTCAGGTCCCGTAAGCAACTTGTCGGCCAAAAAATCACCCTGATGCAAATTGTCAGACTGCTGGTAGTGTGGGAAAAAGTGTACACATGGGATTTTGTGCGATCACAACTGTTCCGATGACTCAGCCTGCAGCACAGTCCAGCTCCTGCTGAGGCTCCACGCCTCCCTCTGCCTGCCTCTCTTCTGTTTGTGTACAGCTCTGCCTACAAGCGCTCCATGGGCCACTGCTGCAAAGGAAAATCTCACGGGAAACGTGTCACAGTTCAAAGACAAACTTATGGCTCATGCACGGGATGCAGATAGGTTTTGCTGCAAGGCAACAAACTGCATAAAAGCATGTGGCTGCAAAGATAAGTTACTGACCCGCTGAAAATAAACACAGATTTATAAGTTTAACAGCGACACAAGAAAAGAAAATCAGCAAGAAGATGAAACCAAACTGACTTTACACTCATTCTGCAGCTGAGAGGAGCTCTCCATGAAACCCGAGTCGACATCCCGGCAGAAAACAGGAAGCATCCTCACTCACATAAGTTAAAGTTCCCCATCCAAAGACAGATATGTTATAGAGAGAGAACTATAACAGAGAGATAAACCCTCTGAACATAGACGGATGAAGAGAGATGCCAGATATTCAAACTATGTTCACAAAAAAGTGGAAAGGTGTATGTCATCCACCAAATGGTTTCATGAATTCATCTGTGAGCAATAGAATGTATATGTATATAATCTGATTGGTTCATTTTTCTACAAATGTTACAAGCCTATTTAGTGTAAATTGTCTGCACCAAGTTGCCTGATTGTTCTTGGGTCTCCAACACATGATCACTCACCTGCCGTTTGGGTGGAATTTCACCATGGCAGGTCTTTTAAGGTCACAGTTGTAGTTCTGATCTCCACCAGAAGGAGACATGCTGTGTCACCCTTGTTAAATCAGGACACCTCCACTCTGTCCTGCAGTGAGAACGACACAGCAAGTATGTTTAACCCGTGTTTCTGTCGTCTATAACACGTCCCGACCCGTGCAGATGTTTACAGCATGGCTGAGGGACCCAGGACCAATTTCTCCATCAATTCTGGCCCCATTTTGAATGCTACACTGTAACTCGCATTAGTTTGTTCTACTTCCTTCCTTCCTCGCTATAATTATCTCTCCCTCTGTTCCCCTCTTACTCTTGCTCTTGTGGTGCCTCCCTCTCATTTTTGTGCCGTTGCGGCGTAAGCCTATAGAGCCTGCATTGTCAGAGTTTGGAGAAAGCGCTTGCGTCAGACTCCGCCGTCCCGCTATAAAAGAGCCGGTTGCTGCAGCAGTAGGCAGTCGGGGCTTAAACCTGAGCCCTTCACACAGCTCTGCACACACTCACAGCCAGACAAAGAGCGAGGGAGGGCACCCCGTCCCCTCTGCGGCCATGAGTAGCTTCGGATATGACCCCTACTACTCCTCCTCCCTGTACAAACGCTGGTACGCTGAGCCTCCCTCTCGTGTGTCGGTGACCAGAGGGAGGACTCACTCCACCTTCTCCTCTCACTCATCCCCGCTGTCCTCCTCCCGCCTGCAGTACTCCTCTCCCAGCCGGGTGCTGTTCTCCTCCTCGCCGGCTTCCTCCCTGGAGCTGGAGCTCAGCCAGGCCGCCCAGATCAGCTCCGATTTCCGGACCGTCCGCACGCAGGAGCGCAGCCAGCTGCAGGACCTCAACGACCGCTTCGCGGGCTTCATCGAGCGGGTGCGCGAGCTGGAGCAGCAGAACCGCGCTCTGGAGGCCGAGCTGCTGCTGCTGAGGCAGAGGCACGCCGAGCCCTCCCGCCTGCGGGCTCTGTACGAGCAGGAGGCCCGCTCCCTGAGGGCCGCCGTGGACGAGGCCAGGGCGGAGCAGCAGTCCGTCCTGGGCCAGAGGGAGCGGCTGGAGCAGACCCTGAGCGCTCTTCAGGGCCGGTATGAAGAGGAGATGCTGGCCCGGGAGGAGGCCGAGGGCCGGCTGATGGAGGCCCGCCGCGAGGCCGACCAGACCGCCCTGGCCAAGAGCGAGCTGGAGAAAAGCGTGGAGACCCTGCTGGAGGAGCTGGCCTTCCTCAAGAGGATCCACGAAGGCGAGGTGGTCGAACTCCAGTCCCAGGTCCAGCTGGGCCACCAGGTGGCCGTGGAGTCGGAAGCCGCCACCCCAGATCTGTCCGGGGCTCTCAGAGACATCCGGTCCCAGTACGAGAGGCTGGCCGCCAGGAACATGCAGGCGGCGGAGGAGTGGTTCAGGGGGAAGGTGGGCTCCCTCTCCGAAACGGTGGCCCAGCACAGCGACGCCGTGAGAAGCTCCAAAGACGAAGCGGGAGAGTACAGGCGCCAGCTGCAGGCCCGTCTGCTGGAGATCGACGCGTGCCGGGGCCTCAACGAATCCCTGGAGAAACAGCTCCACGAGATGGAAGAGAAGCAGAGCGCTGAGATATCTGCCATGCAGGTCAGAAAATACTCTGTGACCCACTGCACTTTATCAAATCTGCCGTGTTTTTTTGGGAGAGGGGGGTATATTCACGCTTCTTTTTTTTATGTAGGACACTATTGGAGATTTAGAGGGTGAGCTGAGTGGCACTAAACAGGAAATGGCTCGCTACCTGAGAGAGTACCAGGACCTGCTGAACGTGAAGATGGCTCTGGACATCGAGATTGCTGCATACAGGTGAGAGGGAAAATGAGGCTTACAATCTAAATACTGATTTAATAGCAGGTGAATCTGCCTGCTTTTACAAAACATTATCTAATTAAAGTCAATGTAGAAGGGGATTTATTCCTTTAAATGATTTTGTCTTTGTTGTTATCAATTATTCAAATATTTCCATCACATAAGCAAACTGTATTTGTATCCTTGCCACAATGGACACTGTGAACTTACATGTTCTCAATGTTCTTAGTGGAGTCTACTAGAAGTTCAACTTCTAGTAGACGCATAGACCTTATGGGACAAAATAAAGCAGGTTTTGGCAGTTTTGTCCTGTTTTAAAGCCTGATTCGAGAAAAGTGCTAGCTTAATCTATGCTTTTGATAAGAGATCACGTGTGATCTGGTTTCACACTGATCCCTTGAGTTTTCACCCGTCTGAACAGGAAGCTTTTGGAAGGGGAGGAGTCCCGCTTCAGCGTGGGAGTGGCCGGGGGAGTGTCCTCTTTTTACGGCCACAGCTTCGCGGCTCCCTCCTTCGCCCGGCCCCTTCTCTCCAGCCTGAGCTCTGGCACCTCCTACCTGATGACCTCGCGCCTGCTCAGCTCAAGCGCCAGCACAACGGAGGGCATCATCTCTGCCAGCCGAGCCCAGCAAGCTGAGGCCAGCCCACCGGGCGAGGAGGAAGAGGAGGAGGAGGAGGCTGAGGAGGAGGCAGAGGAGGTGAAGGAGGAAGAAGAGGGAGCAGAGGAAACAGAGGACAAAAAAGAGGAGGAAGAGAAAGAGGACGGCGAAGAAGGAGAGGAGGAGAAAGAAAAGGAAGATGAAGATGAAGGGGCTAAGGAAGGAGAAGAGGAGGCTAAAGATGAAGAGGGTAACTTTGTTTTCAATCAAATGCATCAATGAACTAAACAAAGAATAAGTATTGAAGTAAATAAACTAATTTTAATTTTCTTAATCCAGGTGGTGATGAAGAGGAGGAAAAGGAAGAGGTGACAGAGGAAGAGAAGGAAGGGAAAGATGAGGGAGAGGAAAGTGCTGCCAAAGATGAAGCACAAGAAACAGAGGGAGCAGAGGATAAAGAAGAGGCCAAAGATGAAGGCAAGGAGGAAAAACCAGAGGAAAGTGAGGATAAGGAGGAGGCCAAAGATGAGGGGGAAGACCAAACAACAGAGGAGAGTGAGGACAAAGAAGAAACCAAAGACGAGGGAAAAGAAGAGATTAAAGAGGCCGCCGAGGATAAAGTCGAGGCCAAAGAGGAAGAAAAAGATGAAAAGGTAGAATCTAAAAAGAGCGAAGAAAAGGAGGGCAAAGCCGACGCCAAAAAGGACGACAAGGCCGAAGACAAAGGCGTCAAAGAAGCTGCTGTGAAAACAGATGGCAAAGATGATGCAAAGAAGGGCAAAGATGAAGAGAAATCAGCCAAACCTGAGGCCACGGAGGAAAAAAGCACAAAGAGCACAAAGTAACCTTTGCAGAGCTCAGTCAAACCGCAGCCCGATGACCACAAGATCCATCAGCGCTGTCCAGTCCGCTTGTTGACATGGTGCTTCATAGAGCAGTGCAAAAGCCATTTACAGCAACAAATCAACTGCTTGCCCGCATTCAGAGCGACCCATAAAGATCTGTTTGCACACTTCCTGGTGATTGTAATATGTTTAATTGCTGAATGCAAAAATGAGCGTGTGAGTCTGGACTGGTGAAATAAATTATTCTCAAATCTATTTGCCTAACTGAGCTTGACTCCTGATTCCAAGTTTAAACTCAATATAAATTGTTAAACCCTGTAACAACCACATATATGTTTGGTTTCAAGATATGTTTGACACTTTTAAGGAGGAAATAACAGATACCTTATCTTTTAAGTGGAAAACTAAAAGGTTTATCTAAAATACTGTGGGGAGGCTTTAATAGGGCCTTTTCTAGAGACATATGAGAGGTCTATGAAATACATTGTTTATTTAAGGCCAACATAACTCCAAGAGTACAATAGCTTTTTTAATTCCTTGTAGTTATTTACTTCTCTATTCAAATTCAGCATGGCTGCCTCCAGCAGTGGTATGAGAGCATACAGGGGGTGTGGGGGGTGCAGACAACTTGCCACACCGTATAATAGTATTTTATTCCCAAACAAGCCTGCTTACAATTCTGCTGTGTGTAGTTTAACCACAAACACATAAATCCTTCATTGATCCTTTTTTCTTTGTTAGTCAATTTTCAAAAATGTGAACACAGAAAGTTAACAGCTCCCAGCCAGTCAGTTAAAATACCACAGGTTGCACTTGATATATATTTATTTATTTCATCTAATCCATTATCAACGTAGTTGCAAATTCTCTATTTTTCGCAGTAACATGAGAACATTTAGCTCATATCAACATCCCCAGTTTATGTAGTATAGATAGTATGACAGTTTTGCCTCCTTTTCTGACAAACCTCTCATATTTCAGAACACTGGAATCTACATGGGTGATGATGAAACACAAATAAAGACCATCTCAATAGATTCAATTACTTTAAACTAATCTTCAAAAGAGATTAGGCTTCCTGGAAGACTGGGGCGGAGTCTGGTTGGTCCCATCAACAGCACCTGTTTGACACCACATATCATTAGGACTCACTCTAGCCTTTTCCACATTGTTGCCACCTTTGTAGCAATTGGGCCAATACCTGCTCCTGCTAGTTTCTTTTGAAATGAATTCCTGATTGTTTGTTACTCTCTTTGGATTCACTGTTGCCGAGCTACCACCAGTCTTCAAACAACCCATCTCTCCATTCCGGACACCCTCCAGGACCAGGACAGTTTTCTTTATTATCTTTACAAATGTGTTTATGGATCCCACTATACAAGAGTAGGAATCTATCTGTTTTCTTCATTAAAAGTTAAAAATCTTTAAGAGCAACAGAAAGGTGAAACTTATTGCCTTCTTGACCTACATAGACTACAACCCAGTGTGTACTAAAACTAGCTTTGCCTTCTCATTTTGAGAAGTCATTTCAAGGGAAGTTGCTGAATCATGTGATGTCATTGATGTATGATGCCATTATGTAGAGCGGGCAGAGATCTAACTTGAAAAAGAAAGGCCATTGCACTTGTTATTAAGGCTTATTTTTGGTATCGCATACAGGGGCATTTTCTTAAATAGTTTTTTGTTACATTGGGATTTTATGACCCAGATGGTGACATGTGACCTGATCAAAACATGGCTTCTGTACACAAGTAATCAAACCATTGTCTGTATGGAAGTAAAGTGACAAATGAAAGTATTATTGAGTGGATACACAGCTGGTACTTATACTATTACTGAAGAGAATGATAATGATCAGTTACTGTTTACAAGCCCGTTGTTTCCCCACCACATCTACCCAAGCTTTGCTCTTTTCAGGGGGACGGAGGAGGCTAGAGACCACCACAGTCAGAAATGAGAGATTAGGTCCACCATGAAATGTATTGATTCTGTCACTAAAGCAAAGAGAGCTTGAACCCAGAATCCTACTTCCGTCAGAGGACGGTGCTAACCAGTGCACCCTTCCCACTTAGCTCTAATGTTCCATTGATTCAAACAAAAGAAAAAGCTCTTCTATTGGTGTACTCCTCTTCAATACCCCTCAAACTGTGAACTGTCTGTAGAAAGCAGCAGCAAGCACTCTTCACAATGAGAGGAGCGTTTATACCGCTGGTGGTGGGCTTTAACAAAATTATTCCTCACCCTGATGCTGATGGATTTCTATTTCTTTCCCAGCTAGTCAGCAACATCATTCATGGCATTTATTTCACAGCTCATATCTTGGTTGAAAGTGTAAAATCAGAAAAATATATTTATTTTTTAAGGGAAAAAAGAAACAGCAAATCAGATTGTTCAAAATATCAAAATGAAAGAAAAGTGAAACAATAATTGAAGTGGTTCCCTCTGGTTGAGCTGATGTTGGTCTATTTTTAGTAAAAAATCAATGTATTCATAGTTCCAGAGATTAAATTAATCTGTATTGCAAGCCCTTTGAAGCCAATTTCAACCAATGATGACAAATCTGTTTGTTCTTTCCAAACAAAGTGTCTTTTACATTTTACATTATGGTTCAGATCTTACCTAGCATGCATCTTAAGGGAATGACAAATAAAATGATGAGACAAGAAGCAACTTCATTATAACATTTATTGAGCAAATGCTGCTGGGAAACTGTTCATGATGAGTAAAGTCATGGGACTGCAAACAGTAGCACCTCATTTATTTCTGTTATTAAATTCAAGTCCATCCTATGCATACAAGAATGCATGTGTCTATGCATTTACAGTCATATTTTCCAGTTGCACTCAGGTAAACATGACAGACACTGGTAAAAAGCATGTTTAAGGCTAGGAGTTTCATCAGGTTGGTTAAGCTGTAACCGCCTCAGTTACGTGATGGAGATGGTCATGTCTTTATCGTTTTGCTGCTCGTCGCTTCCTCCGTATGCTTCCTGTTTATTGTTAGCTTCTTTTTTTGGCTCAGATTGTATCTTCATGTCTCGTAAGGCCTCTTCAGTAGAGTGCATCTGCGTAAAGGACCCTGTCACCTGTCTCCCCCCCCTCACCCACTTTTATTCAAACTCAAAAATCCTCTCAACATAAGGAATATTTCTTTCACTCTACACTACACATATTCCTCTGAGATATTTACTCTTTTTTACACCTCTACCAAACATACAGATAAGAAAGTATACCCCCTCTCTTAACTAGCATGCAGAGACCCCCCCCCCCCCCCCCCCCCACTGAGCCCAGCCTGGAAGAACAGGACAAAAGAATAGGAGGATAAAATGTCTGTCACTTGCTCCTGACCGCGTCTGCAGCGAAGCCCCGTTTTAAAGCTTTCCCTCAACATGCAGGTGTGAACTTTGTAGCATTTTAAGTTTTGCCCTCTCTGTGATTCAGTTTTTGAGAGTGTTTGTCTTTATTACTTCGCTCTAGCTGTATGGTTTTCTTTGTTATGTTAGTTCTGGGTTGGTTTGCTCGGCATGTGCTCTCCGGTTGTCCTCTCGGGCTCACCGTCCGTCCCCCTCCTTTTGACGGCCCCCCGGGACTCCGCTCAGTCGGCCTCTGTCACCTGCTTGATGGATTGGGTGGATTGCTTCTCCGTCTTCTTGGTGGAGACCAGCTTCTCCTGCACCGTCTCCTCCACCTCCTTCACCGTTTCCGTCACAGTGACAGACTTGGTGACGTGCTTGGAGCCGTCCTCTCCGGTGGTGATGGTCTCCACCGTCTTGGTGATCACCACTTTCTGGCTGCCATCTTCCTTGACGGGGCTCTCGTCCACCCCGTTGGCGATCACGTCGCCGTCTTTCTTCTCCGGCTCCTCGGGGCTGCTCTTGTCGATGTCGCCGTTCATGGCTGCGTCCTTCTTTTCAACCTTCTCCTCTGCAGAGTCGCTCTTCTTTTCAGATTTGTCTTCCTTAGGGGTCTCAGGCTTGGTAGTTTCACTCTTTGGGGACTCTACTTTGGGGGAGCTAGGTTTGGGGGTTCCAGCTTTAGGTGAGCCTTCTTTGGGGGATTCAGACTTTGAAGAGGCAACTTTGGGAGATTCAGGTTTAGGTGATTCAGACTTGGGAGAACTAGGTTTTGGGGATTCAGATTTGGGAGATTCGGGTTTAGGTGATTCAGACTTGGGAGAACTAGGTTTTGGGGATTCGGATTTGGGAGATTCAGGTTTAGGTGATTCAGATTTGGGAGAAATAGGTTTTGGGGATTCAGATTTGGGAGATCCAGGCTTAGGTGATTCAGATTTGGGAGAAATAGGTTTTGGGGATTCAGATTTTGGAGATCCAGGCTTAGGTGATTCGGACTTGGGAGAACTAGGTTTTGGGGATTCAGATTTGGGAGAACCAGGTTTTGGGGATTCGGATTTGGGGGAACCAGGTTTAGGAGACTCAGACTTGGGGGAACTAAGTTTTGGGGATTCAGATTTGGGAGGCTCAGGCTTTGCTGCTTCTGCTTTTGGAGCATCTGGTTTGGCTTTATCTGATTTATTATCTGCTGACTCATCCTTTGACTTCTTCTCATCCTCTGTCTTTCCTTTGTCTGTATCCTCCTTTTCCTCTTTTTCATCTCCACTCTTGGATGCTTTGTCACTGCCTGCGTCATCATCCTGATCACCACCCTCCTCTTCAGCACCAGCCTCGTCCTCTCCTCCGCTACCCTCCTTGTCCCCGGCCTTCTCTTTGTCAGGAGAGGCTTTAGACTCTGGAGCTTTGGAGCACAGAACTGTTTCCTCAACTTCTTCTTCCTCTCCTCCCTCCTCACCCTCTTCATCACCTCCTTCTGCGTCACCTTCCTTTTCTCCTTCATTGTCTCCTTCTCCGTCTCCCTCTTCTTCATCCTTATCCCCCTCCTCACCACCTTCTTCTTCTCCTTCTGCTCCCTCGTCATCCTCATCATCGTCCTGTTTGTCCTCCTCCTCGTCCTGACCAGGTGCGCTGGCACTAACTTTGGCTTCGGTGGCAGCTACAACCTCCTCATCCTCTCCCCCCTCTTCTCCTTCTCCATCTCCCCCCTCTGCCTCCTCCCCCTGTCCACCCTCCTCCCCTTCCTCTTCCTCCTCTCCCTCTCCCTGCGCGGCGGACAGCTCCTGCGCTATCTCAGCCAGGGCCTCGTCCATGTCATCTTTGTCGTCCTCCACTCTCGTCTCCTCAATGATCTCTTCCACGAACTTGTGTTGCACTTTAAGCCTGGGGGCCTCTGATTTAGGCCGGGAGATTTTGGCGGGGGTGACCGCCTGGCGATAAGGGAAAGTGCTGAAGTGGGTTTCCTCACCCTCCAAGAGTTTCCTGTTCGGGCAGTGAATGCACAAAGGTGCATTTAAACATCACTCTCAATAGAATAATGAAGTAATTTGCATATATAATTTTTTTTATCCATACCTATATGCAGCAATCTCAATGTCCAAGGCCATCTTGACATTCAGCAGGTCCTGATACTCACGTAGATGACGGGCCATTTCCCACTTGGTGCTCTTAAGCTCATTATCCAGTTGGTGGATTGTCTCCTGAGAAAACACACAGCAAACACAATATACGCTGGTTAAGCACAGCAGAACACCCCTCTCATGCATATTCAGACATGTTCATCCTGTTTTTCCTTTTTATTTTTTGCAAAATAACTGCATCATAACTAATCTTCTTTTCTGCTCTAATGTAATCTGGCGCAATACAGTATTCTAGAAGGGCAGCCTCCACGCAGTTTAAATGTAGCCCCATCCCCACACACCCCCCCCCCCCAAAAAAAACGGTGTGATGCAAGGACAGAGCCAATGATGGCATCGACCATTGCCTCTGAGTCAGAAAGAGAGAAGTAAAAAAAAGAAAAAGAGCCAGATCGAATACTGCAGAGTCCCTCTTAACCGTTTACTCATGTTTGGAACTCGTCCAAGCTTGTGACGAAAGAGGAAAAACTCAGCCATAAGTACTTTTGAACACGGCGAATGCGGTTCTAACATTTTACTGTCCCAAATTAAAGTGATCACAAACCAGTCAGCTTTGGCACAAAACGCTGCTGGTATCATTTTCTTTAATAAAAACTGCGTCACGGAGAGAAGAAAAAAACATGTTGCGCACATTTTTCTTGCCCTCAACTCCAAACTTACTCCCCATATAACATTTAAAATGCACTCATCTGTCAAATCTATCATATCTCTGTCATAGTTTTCTGGGTGGAGGTCCCCCGGAGCGTCCCCCCCCCCTCACCTGCAGACTCGCCAGGTCGCTGTTGTGGCGGTCCTCGATGTCGTTGAGCTGCCTCTCCAGCGAGTCCCTGGTCCCGCGCACGGACTCCAGCTCCACCGTCTTGGACTGCAGCTGGCGGCGGTAGTCGGATATCTCGTCCCGGGCGGACTTGATGGCGTCCTTGTTCTGCTCCGCTGCCTCGGTGAGCTTCGCGTAACGGCACATGAACCAGTTCTCCACCTGCTGCAGGTTCTGGTTGGAGTGGCCCTCCAGCTCGCAGCGGATCTCCCGCAGGGCTTCGGTGATGTCGGCCTTCTGGAGGTCTTTCCTCTCCACCGTCACCTGGGACGCCTGGATCTGGGCGATGAGGTCGCTCACCTCCTCCTCGTGGTTGTTGCGGATGAAGGCGATCTCGTCCTGGAGCGACTGGACTTTCTTCTCCAGCTCGGACTTGACCAGCTCGGAGTCGCTGGCGTCCTTCCTCAGGATGCGGATGATCGCCTCGGTCTCCTCGCGGATGCGAGCCTCCTCGTCGAAGCGCTCCCTGAGCCGCTGGATGTCCTCCTCGATGTGGTCGGTGTCCAGCTGGATCTGCGCCTTGTCGCGGTGGATGCGCTCCAGCACGGCGCGCAGCTCCTGCAGCTCCTGGTCGTAGACGTCGTCCAGCTGGGTGCGGGACACCTGCTTCTGCCGCAGAGCCTGGATCTCGTCCTCGATCTGCTTGTTCTGCTGCTCCAGGTAGTGCACCTTGTCGATGTAGACGGCGAACCGGTCGTTGAGCCCCTGGAGCTGCTCCTTCTCGTTCGATCGCTTGTAGTCGCCGTTGAGGACGGAAGTCTGACCGTAGTCAACGCTGTCGGCGGAGCTGTGCGCCGTGGAGCCGTACGCCCGGGACACCGGCGCGTTCACGCTCCTCTTGTACGATGTGGTCACGGTGGCGCCGGGGGTAGCCCTGGACCAGGACTGGGAGCGGAACCCGCTGGACGGGGTGCCGCTCTGGCGGCCGTAGCCGTAGCCGCTTGTTCTGGTATCCATAGTTCTCCGGAAGGGACTCCCTATCGTGTCCACCGGGTAACTCATCCGGTCTGGCTACACCGTGGAGGGTTGTGGTGCGCAGGGATGAAAAGGGGGGAACAGTGTTGAAAAAGGATGAGGCGAGTGTGTGTGTGTGTGTGTGGGTGGGTGGGTGGGTGGGTGTGTGTGTATGTGCGAGCAGGTGAGGGGTGTATGGCTTTCACAGCGACTGACTGCTCCTCCGTGCGCTCCTTATATATCTGAGCTCCTGCCGCTAACGAGGCAAGTCCAAGCAGTTCTGTTTGGGCCATTGATGGAGCGGAGGGGAGGGCTCATCCCCCTCAGGCCGCCTGCTAATGGTCCCGGGTCCCGTTCGGTCCGGAACACGTGGGCTGGAGGAGCTACGTGGGTGTGCGGTTTAAAGTTAAACCGGATGGCTGTTAGGGAGATCGGGATTTCAGCACCAAGGACAGCGGCACGCCGCTGTTATCTGAAACGCTGTCAGTGTTTAAATTAAGATGTAGCCTACAAGCTGTGTAAAAAAGATTACTTTTCTTAAACGTGAGTGGTTTCAAATGAGTTTAATTTTACGTTTGAGCTAACATCGTCTATGGTTTATCCCCCGGGTTCTAGAAATCCTGATCTATCCTCCCGGTTACAACAGTTAAAATCAAACTCGTCAAAAGAGCACTTTTGTTGAATATGTCATTCTCTATCAGCAGCCAGCCAATTACAAACGACAAGGCTAAAATGTTTTTTAAAAGCTATATTGGACATGGTCAGTTTTGTTCCCCTTATGACTTATATCTGTTCCAGCAACTGCATAATGAATTAGTCTTTCCTATTTTGTCTTGACTATATGACTGATGTATGGGAATAAAAGTAAAATCATTACATAGCGCACTACATGTTTTACATGTTGACTCACAGTAAAAAGTTGCATAGCTGTATCTTGAACAGTTTTTATCTTATGGCCAGATTTGTAGTCTAATCTTTAATTTAACCACAAATACTTCTATGCATACATCTCTTCATATATCCTAAGCTATCCATTAGATCTTCTTAACAAAAAGGTGCCAGCCACCGGGACGTTGTTGCATAGCCGTGCTTTTGTTGAGTCATCTTCCCCAAAGTGTGTGGCCTCAGTGTGCTGGCTGCTGTCTGGTGGGTTGGCCTCAGCAAACAGGATATTGATCTGCCATCTATCTTGATGGTTCACTCTGATATCAGGTCACTTTGATCAATGTGAAACAATCAGAGTTTGTTTGAGGTCATGCATAAAAACCGTTAAATCTGTTTTATTCTTTTTCTCATCCAATGTTTACTGTGTTTAATTCAGTAATCAGAAACAAGCATCTTTATCTGTGCAGTAGGGAGGTGATTTAAAAGTCACTGCAAATGGCAATGAATTAAGAAGTAAACTGGTACATTTCTTTCCTTTAGGGTGTTTATCCTGATTTGGTACTCTGAGCTGAATTATTTCCAGATATTCATATTGATCTTTATTGTCCTTTTCCCCCCATCGTCTCACTGAAACGTTTACTGAGGCAGGGCCTGTGTATCAGGCATTGCCAATTTTAGGTCGCTGCACAGACAGAAAGGCAGACAATGAGAGGGCCAGACATGGGGGGGGGGGGGGGGGGGGGGGGGGGGGGGGACAAGGGCACAGTCATAATGACTTTTTCATCCTGTGTCTGCCTATTTTAAGCACAAGTGTGTGTTGTGAATTAATATAATCCCGCTACAGTATCCTCGATTGCCAACATCAGCAACCTTAAATGCCGTCCTTGGCCTTTTTTATTCATGTTTTTTTTTATTTATTGAGCCTCTGCTGGTAGGGGAAGGATTTCTGACGGGGCTGGTAACGCAGGCACTCCGGCGTGCCATTTGAGGGCACCGATTGTGTGTTGCACATGACGGAGTGGGTGTGTGGGTAGGGCAATAACAGCGGAGTCGTTAAACATCAGTTCTGAGATCCAGCGCACTGCAGAAGAGTTTGGAGTGTTTTCAAATAGCACTGCAGTGGAAACAAGCTGTAAAAGACAAATGAGTCCATCCCAGTCTGTCCCTTCCTGCCACATGCAGATAAAGGTCCACAAAATGGTGTCAAGACACGGGGAAGATTAACTACAGAAAAGAACGCCGTCCTATAGGCTGCAAAGTCAGAATGACCTTTCATTCTACTACTGTACTGTACTGTAGACAGGCCTATACATAGAAGCATAATTGAATGATGGCACAATATACTTAGCTCCACCCAGCTCAGCTGGATTTATACCACCCTCTTAATGTGTAACCTTTAGTTATTTTACAGAGCCAAAGCACTATTGCATAATTTATTTATTGCCTTTGTCAGTAACTGCATAGAAGGATGGAACTTGTGACACCTTAAAAACATTCCACAACAGATTACAGAAATGCAGTTTAAAATTGAGGAAAGAACCATGTGGATGGTTGGATGGATGGATGGATGGATGGATGGATGGATGATTATTCCCAAAGTAATTCTAAGAAGTCTACTCTGAGTAAGACAAATCTGGTTAGAGTTGATCTTTCATATCATCACAGTAGATCATGATTACAAAATGTATACATTAGAGAAGGAAGTTATCTAGAAAGAAGTGAGTGTGGATTGGACTGGTCAACTAGAAACAGACTAGAAAAGTACTGTATGAATCTAACATATTCCACAAGGTATTAGTTTAATACTTCTACCAATAGTTCTAGATGCACCAGTTTCCTAAATGAGACTTCTAACAAATTAATGTTGTTATTTGTGGCCATAAGCTTATTGTCAAATATTCTTCCAAAGGGTTTTAAGGCTTAACTTGCACACATACTGATCAAGAAAAGAGTTTGAAGAAACTAAATAGATTGACTCTAATGAGACCCCGATAATTAAATTGTGTGTATATGATCAGAGCCTTTCAAATCCAAATTTGGTGATGCAAGCACATTCTTCCAATAAGATTATCTGAATACACTTCAAACCTTTCAACTTCATTGAGATCTCAGTGGTTTGTCTTTCTAAATTAACAAAATGATGCCAGCAGTGGCTAAACTGATTTAAGGGGAACATATTGGCACATCAACAAGATAACATATGAGGAATGGACTCTTAAAGTAAACCATGCCAAGTTTGTGGTCTTGAAAAAGCATGTCAGCTAGTGCATTGCCTTTTCAATTTGTTGTCAATGGAATCTGACAACAAGGTATTTCTGCACGGATAAGTAATACTTGTGTGCAAGATCATATCATTATTTCATTTCTATTAGCTATACTTGTAAATAACTGCCATTCAGTGGCACTGCAAGAGGACATTTTAGAAGTCCATCCCTGAAAGTTCTACTGAGGTAATATGGATGTAAAATGTTATAAAATGTTATGAAACTGGACTAAGTGCTGGATAATGTCCAGTTTCACTGTTGCAGTATTCTATGAAGATTTTATTCATTACTCATCCATCAATGACAAAGCACACTTTACTGTTGGATGTAATTCAGCTGGAACACTATTTAAAATTTATTTGCAAACTGAACATCTTTGCTGAGGTTCAGTCTGCACATTTTCTCTCCACTGAATTTCATTTTTTGTCTGAGATGCCACCATAATTCATAGTAAAGAAATTGATGACAAGATTACTATGTCACTGTTGTATTTCCATTCTATGATGATTTCCTCTGCTTACAATGCGTCTTACATTTATAACAAAAGTGTACTTGAAAGGGGTAGTACCCTATCAGAAATCTTTATCAAACTTTCTTTCTGTGTAGAAATAATTCAAACATTTTATTTGACAAAATCTTGATTTATTTTTTCTAATGTACACTTGTACAGTAGCCTGTGTTCAGTAGCATTGCAATCTGCATGAGAAAACCCTGAACAGATGAAAAACTGATTCATGAAACGGCCTTGCAGTTCTGACGGGAAAAAAGATGTCAGGCTGCAGTATTCCGCAAAGGTCAAAGCCGGGTTGGCCATTAGATGGATGGACGTGAGGTGGGAGGGCAAGAGAATCAGATGGTGAGGTAAGCAGTGTGTGTCAGGTTGTAGATAGCTGTATGGGGTGATGTTAGTGGGAGGTCTGGAGGCTGTGATGTCACTCTGGTGGCATAAAGTGAGCATCGATAGTGGAAAGGGGAGGTGTACTTGAGGAACGAAAGGGAGGGGCTGGAACTAGGATCTGCAGTTTATCTGCAATGCATCAGTAGCTCCTTCTGGTTCTCCCACTCACAGAGAAGTGTGGATCGGACAGAGGCAGCTTCTCATCTCATAGGTGATCCTCTGTGGAGGTCTCAGTGGCCAAAAAAATCAAAGCCATCCACATTCCTCTCACATGAGAAGGCTGGAGAATCCCCAATAACTACACAAAAGCGTGCACAAAGAGACTTTGAAATGGGTTTGTACAAAGTCAACGGGGGAATAAATGTATCATTGGGACGTCCAGTAGTTAATCAGTGTGGTCAGTGTTCACAAATCAATAATAGAAATAGCTGTGGAATTACAACATAGACTGGATGTCTACAAACACACAAATCACCCGCTTCTCTGCATGCACGAGAAAGCAGCCAGCAAAGTAACATCTATTCCATAAAAAACAACAACATTCATGTCAATGAAATATATTGCAAACATCTTGGAACTGGTGGCATAAATCTGTCAGCCCCCCGAGTAAACCCAGAACCAATTTTAAAGGTACACACACACACACACACACACATATAAAACTTATTTTTTCAGCTCCTGGTGATGACAGAAACTAATGGGCTGGTGTTGCTTTATCAGTGATCTATATCGTCATTTGCACTCAATGGAGCTTTTGTTGCCACAGATAAATTACCGAAAAGTCTCGCTCAATAATTAGACTGCCTGATCAAGCCACGCGTTATGTTAATATTTACTCCAGCTCAACACCATCAGTTAGCCCTGAGTGCTTTGTGCTGTGTGTTCCAGATAATGCAGTCTTAATGACCACATGCACAGAAGAGAAATCTCTTAACGGTGGCAGCTAAACTGTCTGT